ATTGGATCAGGGATCGATCGTTGAGTTGGTTCAGGGTAACGTTGTTGAATTGGGTCAGGGATCGGTATCGTCCCAACATAGATTAGAGATTGATGGATTAGTTCTATTAGAGATCAGCTAAGTAGCTTAGATCTCCAACACGTTATTCGTTAAAATTCTCTAGTTATTAAAGGTAGTATTTAGGCGGATAATCGTTGTTAGGGAAGACCTATACTTTATTCTTTTCGTTTTTATTGGCAAATTCGTCTACGTCTGTTAGATCTATATCTAGCTCTACACTATAGTCTGTATTAGACGCAGAGTAATTGCTGTTATTAGAAGAATTTTTAATAGATAAGTATTATAGCATGTCGCACAATATATGTAAAAAAGAAGCGTAAGAGAGAGGTAAAGCAAGTACACGCAGAGCTAATAGAAGTAGAGCATACACCTATAGTTAGATATCTAAGGCTAAGTGTAAAGGGAAATAAGAGTAACACAACAAGACTTTAGGTTTAAAGGAGAATATAGGCTATAAAAGAAATAAGAAAAGGAAAAGAAGGCCTAGTTTGTATTGCTGCAAACGGGGAGGAGAGGGCCTTTAGTACTTCATCAGCAGTCTGATCTTGAATTCGGTTAACATTCACTTATAGTATTTAAAAAAATAAGTCAGGTCATAGGCATGCTGCAGCATGCCTAATAAGGGACTAAATTAGCCCTTGCACTTATTTAACGCCTACGCTAGCTAAGGTAGGAAAGCTGGAGAGGTTTTTACTCGGGCCACTGCCCGCACAATTAGGGGGGTTTTATGGCAAGTTAGCATCCATAAACGGTGTTACAAGCTACCGAAATCAGCAGTGAAATTGCCGTTGGATTGTTTAAGATAGTAAAGTAACTAGTAAGAAAGTATAATTAAGTTAACTATAATAAGAGTAAATAATAAAATCTATCTATCTTTATATCCTTATTACTTCTAGTCCTAGCATCTAGCTAAGCCTCTAGCATCTCTAATGCCTTTGGCATCTCTAGATGTCCTAGCATCTCCTAAGGAACTGGCATCTCTAGATATCCTGTCTTAGCGAGATGCTATATTACGTGATCAGCGCCCCGCGTTAATTATTACCTTCTGACGTGGACGTCTATAGGCCTTCCGCCATCTCATCGCTTGTCAAGGAGAGAATCCTTCTTGTTACTTGTAACACTGAGCCGTTACAAAGCTAGCGTTGTTGTAGCAGCCGTCGTGTTGCACAGCTATCATACGTCTATCGCAAACTAGGTAACGTAGCAATAAATACTATGTAATTTTAGGGTATATATTCTAAGATAGCTAGAGAATTACTTATAGATAGTGCTGCAAGATTTTCAACTACAAATATCTTGTAGAGAAAGGGCGACGCAGGGGTCTTTCGCTACGCAGGGGGGGGGGAGGTTAATTTAGCAAACTTTTCTTTCTTTTCAACCTTCAAGTTAATAGACTCGCTAAGAAATCTCGGATCAAAGATAGCTAGCTGTCTGACTAAACCAACGTAGTGCATTTTATTGAGGTATTATTGACTTAGGACACTGCTAAATACAATCTTCTCTGAGCCCTGGGTCATGTCGAATGTAGCTGCCACACCATATAGAAAAGTTCCTCCTAGAAATGAGCCATGTGGTTGAATTCCTGTCCAACAATAACCTGGGCTACCATCAACTGCACCATATGGTGGCTGCACCAACAAAGATGATTTTTCAAATGGAAAATCCTTTCCACCAATGCGAACAGCTACGGAACTAAATGTAGCATTACACAATGCATAGGTGTAGCCACGGCTGTCAGCAAGGGTTGGTGTACTAAACGTTTTCAGCCATGGGGTCATGGTTGATTGTGGAACGTATGAGTAGTCACTACCACAATCTACACTATAGGCTAACGGTTCACTGTCGGCACCCGGCTCGGTCCATGGAATGAACTGGTCGCCAATTGTCATGCCGTCTGGCACGATGTCCCACCAGTAATTGCGATAGGGAGGGCCGTATTTTCTGAGCGGAGCACTGCTGACATTTCCGCTATATGACACTGAACTTGGTGGTGCAGCCCCTCCTATGATCAAGGTGCCAGCATTCTCTCCATCTCTTCCGCCTATGGGCCCGAGAACGAGCGTGAAAACTGGTTTCTTGATAACACCGCTCTTAAATGCGCTGATAATCCATGGATCGTACGGAATTGAGTTGTGAGGGTTAGGATAAGATGCATTATCTTTTGTCGGATCTAATCCTGGATAGACAGAAGTGGTGTTAGGAAAGCCAAGGCCAAAAATTCCGTGCGAACCACCTGGACTTGTTGTAGGCTGCTTAGCGATATTAACCTTGGCTACTACCTGTCTTTCCACGTTAAAACCTGCAATCGAGACAGGTTCATAGCCAACAGTCCCCAAATACGAGTTTCCATTGTCGTAGGTGATATTTAAGTGCCGGTCTGGAATCTGACCACCTGAGAATGTAGGAGGTGTGAGCTTGGTAAAATTGCATTGTGATTGAGGGACTTCCTTCGTCTTATCATCGAAGCATTTGAGATCCTGGGACGGCAACCAAGTGTCAGAACTGCCAGTATCCGCCATTAACCGAAATGTTTCTCCGTCGACTTGCACATCGATACCATAACGGCTTCCAAGTTCGATCGTTTCCAAAGGTACGGTTCCGGCGTGAGTGGTGCGCTTGATAAGTTGTTTGTGAGGGCTGGAACTAAATCTTGCGGATGAACGGGTGGTTTTGAGCTGGATTTGGGATCCACCAATCGGGATTCCGAGTTCATTCAGTTTCTCTTGAAGCTTCAAACTAGCATCGTAGACACCCGCACGCGGACGGAAATTGGCATCGTCATTCTTCCCAAGAAATGGCAAGGTGTTACTCATTCCAAGAGAGGGTAGGAGTACCAGAGCTGCGATAGTAATGTGAAGATTATTGCGAGGCGCCATCATCACTCTGCTACGGTCGGATGGTTGCTGCGTTGTGATGGGTTCTGAAAGATTTTTTTTGGATACTGCTGTACTGATCAGTACACACGAGAGAGAAAAGTATCCAACATGACGTCCAATGTAATGGTTACAACCGCTTGAACCAGTCTTTTATAACTTTCTAAGAAATACTTGGCTTCATGTCATTCAGTCTGATCACGCTTTTCCGGAAGATCTCAATTGCACCAGTCCCCGTGCTTAATTCCGACGTATTCGGTCATTTGAGCCTGATTCGTATCTCACTCAGCACTATTGATGGAGCCTAGGTCCGAAACATGATAGTACATGACCCTACCGGAGTCATTTCGGTGGGCGGGAAGTTTCTCACCGCCAGATAAGCAAGGATGACGTTAGGATACAGGCCTAGAAGCCCTAACCGCCCTGGCAGATGGAATTGTTATTTGTTAGATGACGTGTTTCACAAGCGAGTCGGACACGCCCCACCAGCGCGTCAACGTCGATACTATAACGCGTCATGTCTCAACAATGCAACCATCTATTCACTTATTTTAAACTAAATCTCTACCTTGCTCTTTTTAATATCTGATTATAACGTGCCTTAAAGTACTCTATCTGAGTGTTAAGAGTATAGCTCGAGTGGATGTAATATAAGACTCCGGGTGTCAAGCTTCTTGTTGGTTGGTTTTCGCAGATAGAGAGACAGTGTGCAATAGGACAGTAACTTGGGCAATGTAAGGGGCTGCGCTCCGGGGAGCAATCGCGAGGTGTACAAGAGGTTGTATTCACTAAAGAGATAAGCTTCTAAGCTACGGAGGTGCCTTTCAAAAGTTCTGTCTACCAAGGATAATCTAGCCGAAGTACGGCCGCCTTAGCCAAAGCTTATCTCTTCCCTCTATATGCTTATTACCACCTTGTAGCTTAATAATTGTTGCACGCGTAGGTGCAGTGAAAAATTGGTCTGTATTTTCTGCTATCTACTATCTTCGTTTATTTATGGTGTATAGCCATTGCTTTTTATTGTTGAGGTCCTGCATCCAGAAGCAATGACGGTGGCTTGTCGCTTCGGCTTGTCGCTTCGGCTCAGCTGAGGTCATTGCTTCTGCAACCTTGCATAGGTTGCGACAATAATCTTTTGAATATGTATAAAGATTCGCTCAATCTAGGCTTGGATCTTAAGTTGCGAGAGATCTCTCCAGCAGTTCTGCCAGATTCTGACTGCCTCAGCCCTTGACTGTGGAGCTCCTTTCTTCGTAGTCTCTCTCTTTATGTAGTGGATGTGGGCATCCAGCCCACTAAGTCGATACTACTGTAACGGGCTGAACGCCCTTTGGATAGCTCCTCGATGGAATCTCGGCTTAACCTGCGCGCGCACCATCTGAACTACGTTCAGACCAAGCAGCGCTTAAACAGCGCGCTCAGACAACGCGCACAGATACTCCGGCATAACCTTTCTCTGACAAGCAAATAAACACAACGCAAGTAAGTAGATAGCTCCTTATCGAATACAAGCTCTTGTATACCTCGTGATTGCTCCCCGGAGCGCAGCCCCTTACACGAACTAGGGTACGATTCAGCCTAGTGGGAAAAACGACTATATAAACCCAATCTCTATGATAGCTTGTTAGGTGGATTTTTGATATCCTTTCGTACAAGGCCTATAGGTGTCTATTCGAATCAAGGCTCGTTTGATGTCCCACGCACTCCCATATGCCTCTGAGTGACGCTACTGCCGATACTGATCCGAGTAGTCTTGCCTACGCCGTTACAGTTTCTCTACTATATCTAATACTTTATATAGACGGGGGGCAAATCCTTACGAGTCTAGGTTATGAATATATCGTACGATAGTTTACTCTTTAGACTTAGTTAGCTTCTAGTAATTTAGCTGTGTTATAGGTTGAAAGTTAATCCCTTAAAGCCGCTAAGAGATCTACTAATAATGGACGTTGTAGGCTGCTGCAGCGCGTTAAATACTCTTAAACTAGCCTGTATAATAAGCCTAAACAGCTAGAGTAAGCCTACCTTCTTACTAAGTTAATATCGCGTTCTATTATTGAGACATTATCTTTCGTACGTGAAGTTCGCGATGCCAAGAGAAAGTGGCACACTCGGTGATGTGGCCCGCTCGGTGATAGAATACTTTAGTAGTAGTATTATATAATCTTCACCCGCGTAGCCCTTAGATGTTACTCGGCATAGATCTCTCTAGCACTTCGCATCTGCACTAAGTCCGTGCGTCTAGGCTGGCGGAAGAACGTCGCTAGATCGTGTCCCGCCAGCGGTGCTGTGAAGCGCCAGCAAGACTAACTAGCCCCAGTCGCCCCAGCCACTTGCTACCAGATCTTGACCGTCCAGTCGGCCGACGCCAACGCGAGCTGTGCCGAGTCATGGGAGAAGGCTATTGACCTGATCGATCCAGTAGATACACCAATATCGCGATGGCGCTGGTAGGTCCGGGTCTGGCGGCTCCACCTAATCAGCAGGATACCCTAGCGCACTTAAGCTGTACATGTCTCGTCGGAGCATCNTCGACATGGAGATTGTGTAGGCCTTTAAAGCCTGGGATGGCATGCGGGAGGAGAAGAGTGTGAAGTCGGCTTTACGATTGAGGAAGCGGGGTTTTTTCGAGACCTCGGGGATGGAGGAATTCAGTAGCGATGGCCTGGGACTGTCTGCTCGGAGATCAGCATTGAGTGCTAGCAATTAAGCAAAGGGTCGCTTACATGCTCTGAAGCCTGAACTTCCCTGCCCCTTCAAGCCTCATCGCGAGCTGCACCAGCGGCTGGATCACGTCCATGCACCACACGTTTTGATCGCGACCCCTCGACTGGCACACTCGCACATTCAGCCAGACCCTTTCACCCTACGCAACACATACTCTAGTCTTTCACGCTCCTCGCTGCCAACATCCGGATCCGAGAGGCTACGCGCCGTGCTCTGGTCCCAAGCATGACGCTCAAACCTTTGGTATCCAAAGTCCTGGGTCTTCCTCGATTGGCTCCTGCAGCCAACCCAGTATCCAACTGCTGTCCTGCCAACATCCGGATTCGAGAGGTTACGCGCCGTGCTCTGGTCCCAAGCATGACGCCCAATCCTTTGGTATCCAAAGTCCTGGGTCTTCCTCGATTGGCTCCTGCAGCCAACCCAGTATCCAACTGCCGTCCAGCCCGTCTTCCAGTTGCTCCATGACATCCCTCACTCTCCGCGGCGGCGGTGTCTTCAGCCCTGAACCCGGTTCCGTTATCGGAGGAGATGTGGAAGCCCATACAGCAATGTTGTCGCGGGACAGGCTATTCGCTCAACAAGGGCTTCTGGTGCCGGCTTGGCTGCTAGGCGGACTGAAGGTATTCCTCTCATTGAGCATGAGCGCGCTCGTATTTAAAGCCGCGCCGGCCGCAGATACGCTGTGGGTAGGCAGGACTTCGGTATCAGTATCGCGCCTCGGACGCTTGGGACTGGTGGTGCGTGCCGACATTGTACAGGTTACGGGCGCAGACGTCACACGCTTCCGCTTCAGAGATGGGCGCAACGGCGGGGATAGATCGTTCGTCCGGGCTGAAACTGGCTTGGAAAGCTGCTCGATCCAGCCTTTCACGCGTATTGTCTTCACGGCAACAATTGAGGGCGAGGTCTGATGCGAGACACTCGACGCGGCCGATTGTATTGTATTGGAAACGGAGGTAAAGGGCTCATTAGAGAGTGTTCTTACAACCACGAAAGTGCAACAACCGAATAATAAATGTGAGACGCCATAATGTACTCAAAAACTAACAAGATTCCAGAGTACTTGTTAAAGTCTTAGGGCGAAGTAGGTGTATATCTGTGCTTTAATTATTGGAAGTGCGTGCTCCCTGCGAAGTTGTTGTTCCTGTCCGTACAGGATCTTGCGCAAAGGGAGTGGGCAGCTCAGACCGGGTCAAATGGTGGCGGCTTGGCTGCTCTTGAATTAGAGTTGCTTTAGCTTCTTAAGTGGATCTTTGTCGGACTGTAGCAGCATCGCGGCCTCCCAGGCCTGGCCTCTTTCAACCACTGCCTTAATGTTCTTTTGACTGCCAATGCGCAAAATCGTCTGGCCGACCACGATTCCTGCAGCGGCCTCTACAGCCATATTTGTGATGTGCTGATTTCGCTCTGCGGTTGTCATACTATGCCACCATGCTGCTTTCTTGTCATGGACTAGCATGGCTGCGAGTTGGTTTTTGTAGAGTTCAACCGCCTCTACTGTTCCTTGAGAGTCAGAGATGCCGAGATGCCGGGAATGTTGAGGCGTTTCTTGTTCGAGATCAATACCGGCATCTTGGGCGATGATTTCCGTCGAGCCAGAGTTGCTGGAGTCCTCGAAAGAGGGCACAGGGAGGTTGGTAATGATTGGCGCGATGGGTTCAGGATCTCTTGGTCTGATCGTGTACACTTTGGGCAGGCCATCTCTCTTCCGTCGTCTCGAGGTCACCTTACCATGCTCCACCCACTGTAACGGCTTCTGCTGGTCGTATCCTGGACACTCCTTGCCAGCCTTGACGCATTTCTTGCAGTGGGGTAGGGTATGATCACAGACCAAGCGTCGCTTGAGGCATTCCCAGCACTGGCGTGTTGCTTTCTTTTCTCCACTTTCGGGTCGCTTCATGGTTTCAGTCAGGTATAGCTGCTTCCAGAATCCCGCGGCGTGCACTAAAATCGAGGCGGTCGTGACCGGGTGTTTGTCTAAACGGTAGGTGCGCGCTCCTCTGCATCTTTATTGCCGTTGGTGGTCGAGCGAAAGAGCCTGTGATTGGCAAAGATGCGCAGCGACGCACATGCAGTTGGCAGTGTCAGCAGCCACAGGGCTTGGCCCATGTTTTGCCCGAATGCGGCCTAGTACAGCTGCCCAGCAAGGCTTCACGGCTCTGACCCCACGGGGCTGCTGGCGTTACCTATCAACCGAGCAAATGAGCGGGATGGATGCCATATCAAGTTGGCTCAACTCGCCGCGCCTTGCGATGAATGGCGGAGCGACTGGTCGTGTGTGTAGTACCCTGGTAAGGGCAATGAGATGGAAGTCACGGATGACGTAGATAACTGTTGACCATGCTAGCGCCGCTTATCTGGAGCACTCTGAGCACTTCTTCAAAGTTATTTCTTCTTGTGCGAAAGTCGCTTGATCATTTCATGTATGAGGAAAATGTACATTGCTAAAACCGCTTCCTACCCAATAAGAAAGTTGTCGTAATATCTGCATCCTTCTACCTGCCCAAATCAGGCTGTAACTTGGACATTCTCTTCTAAGCTTGCTAGAGCCTTGTCGACATCGGCTTGCAGGTCGTGGAACCAAAGCCACTCGTACCACCCGTTCTGGAGCATGCGGATCGACTTGCTTACATCTGCGCCATTGGTTTCATGGACTCTTGTGAGCATGCGTCCGACTTCATCAGCTCGTTCCAACTGGTGCTGAGCTCGAGGGCGACGCACGGCATCATAAGCCTCGAGCCCTGCACTGATGTACGCGTCCGTGTCGCCGAAGTTCGCATGAGCCTCTGCGACCTTGGCGAGCACCTCAGTTAGCACCAGAGCATCTTCGACTCCCTGTGCGGCACCAGCAGCTTGGAAAGGCATAGAGGCATGGGCAGCGTCGCCCAAGAGAATAGAACGGCCGCGGTAGTAAGTGGATGTGCACCAGTGATGGAAGAGGCCCCACTTGACAGGTCGATGTTTAGCAAGGATTTGCGTCAGGCGAGGGTCCATATTCTGGCCCTCGAATTCAGCCATCATGGCCTCGTGTGTCGTTGTCTCCGTCATTGACTTCTTCTCAATGATCCAAGGTTTCGGGTCTCTCCTCACGAAAAGAAAATTGACTTCGGTGCCGTGTGTGATGCGATACTGGACAATACCCCGCTCATGACCGAAGTAATTCTTCGCAATGTCAGACACCGTCCCCAGAATCGGATAGACTTCGGACATTGGCAGCACGGCACGGTAGGCATAGATACCTGCATACACTGGTGCTACCTCTTGTGGAAAAGAAGGTCCGAGCACGTCCTCCCGAACGACACTCTTGATGCCGTCGGAGCCGGCGAGCAGAGACGCTTCAGCTGTTGTGCCATCGGCGAATTTGAGAACGACCTTATCAGGGTGCTGCTCGACCGACTCTAGGGACTTGTTAAAATGAACAGTCTCAATGGGGATGAAGGAGGTCATGATATCCAGTAACTCCTTCCGGTGTGCCTGCACATGATCAGGACCAAATTGAATTCAATTTTATTGGATTGGACTTACAGATTTGCGTACGTAGTCTTGATGACCCCAAGAAGAGTCACCAAACCATGGCTGGTCGTGGCCTGCCGAAAATAAGAATTGTACAAGGGAGTGTAATGTTGCTTAGACTTACCAAGCCCTTCATCGAGAAGCTGCCCCTCAAAAAAGATGTGCTCAGTCCCTTCGCCTTTGTTGGTAGTGCAGAGGGCCTCGTACAAAGGGCGAAAGCCGGGCTCAATGAGGTCGAGAGCTTGCATTCCATTGGGTCCAAAGCCAATGCCGGCACTAAAATGTAATCAGGTCGAGCGTCTCAAATCACTTGGCAAACTTCACCCACCCAACGACTGAGTACTCCTTGGCCGCTTCATAGATACTGAAGGAGATGCCTTTCCTGTGCAGGCCCATGGCCAAAGCCAAACCGGCAATGCCAGCGCCTAAGCATCTGTCAGACTTCCTGATATTCGGCAAGTGTAGCGATTAGGACTTACCAGCAATGGCGACATGAAAGTCTTCGCGTGTCTTACCAATCATCGTGACTCGTAGTCGTAGAGTGCAGTTGCGTTTGGATCAGATTCGTGCTTCGACCAAGGGTCCTTTTACCTGATTTTCATCCGTTCATCGTACTCCAATGCTGTAGACCGATACAGCGATTAGTTGTGGTTGGGGCGGATCTATATCCGGCTAGATCCGATGTCTCCGCGAAAGTCCACAGTCCTCAGTCGATCAAGATGCACCAGCCAAAGGTGGAAAAGATGCGACGCCTGTAACGTTGCACTATCTAGATAGCACACAGCCGCATTTCCAGATTGCGGGCAGAGCAGATAGGCGTCGTTATGCATGGAGTAGTGTATGACTGTTTATCGAAGGTCTCGCGACGTTATAGGAGCACGAAGCTAGGCCGATAAGAAGAGAGCCAACCTTGATCCGGCAAAGTGTTCCGATGTTGCCCCGAATGTCGATCCACATCACACAGACCTCCGGCTGCTTCTTCCTTACTTTCCCCATCAACTGCTTTCGCTGCGGCACCACACGACCTGGGTACGATGTCGGCTAAACCATCACATGAGCGCTCGGAACAGGCCCAAGAGCCCGGTCCTTCAGCCAATAAGCGGCGACGCGTTGGTCTTGCCTGCAATGCGTGTCGCATGCGTAAGTCTCGGTATGTAACAACCTTGGCTTGAGCAAGACATGATGAAGTTGTGTAGCGACTGACCACCTGTGATAGCTGCGATGGACAACGGCCATCGTGCTCATCCTGCGTCTCACTTGACTTCGACTGCCAGTATGAGTCAAGCGAGTCTGCTACCAATGTCATCGTACGAAAGGACTACATGTCTGATCTGGACTCTCGCATGACCGCTATGGAAAGCAAACTCCAGCGATTCAATGATCTGCTCAGAGGCCATTTGACGCCGTGTGCCGATACGCGTCAAGCTACCATAGGTAGCTCCGTAATAGCACAATCGCAACGAGATGAATCTTCACAGCCTCCTAACCGTGCGGACATCGGTCAGACTCTTGTGGCCGGTATGGAAGAGCCCCAAGACGACGATGCAGCGACCAATGGCATGGCCATGGTTTTCATCGATGAACACACCTCGGCGTTCTTCGGTGAATCGTCCAACATCAATTTTACGCAGCTTCTTCTAAGAGCGGTGGCTATCGCGCGTCAAACCGACATACAAGTGCCTGGTACGAAAGATCACGCCAGCTTCCTTGACGACGGTAATGTCTCAGGCATACATCATAGCCAACCGCAATCGAAAGCGCCATTCACGATTTCTGCTGGAATTTCAATCACTTCATTGCCGGAAGTGGCAGTGATGAACAGGTTGTTAGACACGTATTTCGACACTGCAGGGGTAGTATTTCCTTTCCTCCTCGAGGAGACAACCAGAAAAACTTACTCCGAATGCCTGAAGAACGGCTTCAAAAGGGCTCGAAGAACTTGGCTTGGGACCTTGAACATGATGTTCGCACTGGCCACCATGCTCGATCGAGAGAACTTCCCATCAGCCAAGAAACGCTTCGAAAGAGGGGACCTCTACTATCACAGGGCTGTTGGACTGTGTGGCGAACTCTCCAAGCACGTCGTGAGCCTGGAAACTGTTCACTACTTACTGATGGTAGTTATGTATTGTCAAGGCACCCAACGCTCAGTGCAAGCCTGGAACATACATGGATTACTGACCCGGTCCGCCATGGCACTCGGTTTGCATAGTTGTGTTGCTGGAAAGCATCTGGATCCCATTCAGGCGGAGTACCAGCGACGCACGTGGGTCATCATTTACTGCTTGGACAAAGTCTTGAGCGCAGCTTTTGGGCGACCAGCGAGTGTACCAGATGAGCATGCCGTTGACCGACAACCTTCTGCAGCCCTCTATCACACCCCTAGCATGTCAGAAAGTGGTGCAGACATCCCTGGCGACTTCCTTGCCGTATCGTTCGAATTGTATCAGGTAATGAGCAAATCCTTGGTCAAGCAGTATTCGGCGACCGCTCAGCAGAGAGACATCGATCTGGATGATTTGAAAACACTGCAGGCCTCCGTCGAATTCCGGAAGAGCCTTCGAATGTGGGCTGCAAGTCTGCCACCCTACCTCGGCCTTTGTGACGCGCAACCAGAGATCCTTGCGGAAAGTTCACGGCTGAACAGACTTCGTGTCATACTGTCACTTCGGTACCATAATCTAAGCATCCTTGTTCACAGACCATTGCTCAGCATCACCATTGGTCATTTATTTCGAAAGGACGACAATGCCATCAATACTGCTCCTTACTTCATTCAGCTAGCAATGGCCGAGGCCGAAGAATGCGTACAGTCAGCGGAGGCCACCATCAACATTGCCCATGCTGTCATCTCTGCTGATTCTACGAGCAAGAACAACCTTGGAGCCTGGTATTTCACTCTATATTACGGTAAGTCGTCAAGGAGCGGTCGGTATCCTGATTGTTACTTACAAACAACTCGCCAGTATTCACAGCGTCTCTTGTTATCAGCGCACGATTTCTCTGGACGCAGCATGACAGTCTTCAACTTTCCTTGGCAGCTATTGAGCACTCGAGAAAACTGCTTAAGAAAGCTGAAAAAGTGTTTCAGCACCTAGATTCGGACAACAACCTTGTACTTAGTTGCTGGAAGTACATACATGAGCTATCGATTATGTGTCAATATCGCAGTACGTCACCATATCTACCCTACTACACACTTCGGGAGAATCAGTCAATTGAGCCTGTCACAGGAGGAATAAACACACGAGAGTCCGTCTCAGAAGAACAGCCCACGGAGATAGCAGCGTGGCCAAACATCTCGGCCGACCCTACATCTATGTCAAACTCATTCCTGACGGTGCCTCCAGACGCAAATGACATCGAGGTGTACCAATTGTTTGCAAGGGAGATGTTTGATCCGTCCACCTTCGAGATTAATCCTTACGGAGCTGTAAATGGGGATGACATGATGTTCTAGAGTACACCAGGAACACCGATATTAGGTAGCGATACGGAGGACAGCACAGATATCGATCAATTATTTACAAAAGCGGAGCTGCCTGGTATTATGATATGATGGCCTATAAAGACCATACATTACCTGTAAGATATTCGGCTATGATCACGAAGCGAACTATTGAATTTGGATATCTAAACCAGCCTAGCTGGCGGCGTTGCATGGGATCATTCTCCACAGCTGTGTCATGTCACAGCAAGTTTGCCACTACCTGGACCACATTGTGACGTTTCATGGAAGTGTTGGTCCTGAGACTGCCGAGTCTTTCCGATGCTCCTTCACGCTTGTGGGGGCGTTGGAAGACGGCCATGAGGCGTTTCCGTCCACAGGAGTGAAAGAATTGAGGAAGCTCCAGTGGCTTTCCCTTTTCCAGCCTTTTGCCATCCAATCGTTAGCTGTCTTGGGATAGAAATCCACAATGCCAAGTATGCTCATGTCATGAGCCATCACTGGGAAAATATTGTCGTATGCATCGGCTACGATCAGCTTGTCGATACTTTCTTTCGCCTGCAGCCCGACATGATGCCATCCGCCTTCCATAACTGGGTCAAAGAACGGTTCGTCTCGGCTGCGCTTCGGATGCACGGCTTGAAACAGTCGCCCAGGACAGCCACCCGCTCTATGACTGATCGGACTCGGAGTGATAATATCCGGGAGCGGGATGTACCGCGATGGTCTGAATTCTCCACAATGATGCGCAATGTCTCCACCTAGCAGAATGAAGGTGGGAGGGTCCGCAGTAGTGCGAGCCAGGGCCGACATGTGACCAATAGCATGTCCGGGTGAGTGGAGAAGGAAGAAGCTTCCGTCGCCGTAGAAGTCGTACGCCTCGAAGTCACCGATCTTGAGTCCTTTGGGGCCTGAGAAATCGATCTCGTGCATGTCGCGATCTTCCCATGCCCGCTCGTCTAGTTGTGAGCTTGGTATTGTTGGATATGAAGGAATGAAGTTTGACTTGAAGCCAGGACCAACGATGAGGTCTGTGGTGTTGGGAAATGTTCGTGGGTTGCCGACGTGATCGAAATGCCAGTGAGACCATATGATCGCACCAACATCTTCCAGGTTCTGTCCGTTCTCTTGGAGGATGGTTGCAACGTCCTTCTTAACGGTGATGCTGCCACCACTTGCTTTGACTTCTGCAACGAATGTTGCTGGAAGGTTTCCCCAATCTTGCCGCACTCCGAGATCAAATACCATCGTATCATATTTGGTCCCTGAATGTGGGTGCTTGATGATATATGCCAACGAGTGGCAGGTTATGATGTCGAACCCTGCGATATCAGGTTCCACGAAATCTGAGGCTGGAAAGCCCGTCATGTAGGTCGTGGTGTCGATGATCGAGATCTCTACGATGTTTTGCGATGGAGGAATATCCATAGGGGGAGGAACGTTTAGGCCCGCCATAACGGTATGCTCGGTATGCAAATCACTTAGAATCAAAGAGGGAAGACGATTTGGTGATTAACGAAAGAAATCACTGCGATCATATTTCGTTCTTATCAGTCACGCCGATACTCACCTGCTGGCCATCTATCTTATCGGCCATGGCGATACTCCCCTGTTGGCGTTGATCCTTATCTGCCTGCGGTTGCACGAGTGTGGTATGTGTGGAGAGGTCTTGCATGGGAAGGACTTTAGCGGGAAGTAGTCCAGATAGTGAGGAGTAGTTCAGATAGCGGGGCAGACTAGTGGGATACGGCGCTGGGGCCGACTTGCACAAAGCTTCTTCGATCCAGCCCACTTGCGGCAAGTCCGGGTCGATTACCCGGTAAACTTCGCCGACACAGAGTCACGAAGGATATCTGGCTTGCGCATACAATCGACACTATAGAGGAATGCGGTCTTGTCAATCTGTTGCAGAACCAACACAACACTCCGCTTTCAACACGATGTCTGATCCCACCGTCGTCACGCAGCTGCCAGACGAAGCTGACCGCCGCTTCTACTGCAAAGATGAACTGCGTGAGTATTTTACTCGCATCAATCTTCCTGAGCAATATCTTAACGCGCCGATTTTGTCGAATGCCGACCTTGCGAAAACAAAGGAGCATGGACTTCCGTTGCTAGAGGCATTGTGCCGTCAGCAGGCATGCAACGTCCCTTTCGAAAACCTCATCCTCCATTATTCTGCTAGCAAAAAGGTTACTCTTGACTTGTCCGAACTTTACACCTGGTTCGTCAAGCGACGACGTGGTGGTCGTTGCATGGAGACCAACAGTTTCTTCGGCACTGTCCTTCGCTCGATTGGCTATCAAGTTCGCAATTGCGGTGGACGTGTCTCCAGAGCAATGAGTCCATACCCAGAGGTGCGGAAGAATCAGGCTCACACGTATGATGGGATGAACCACATGCTCAACCTCGTGCACTTCGAGGATAAGGATGAGTGGTTTGTGGTTGATGTGGGTATGGGTGCAATGGGTCCAAACATGCCGTACCCGCTCCGCGACAACTTCGAAGTTACCAGTATTGCGCCGAGGAAGATCCGACTCCAGAAGAGAGCCATTGGCGAGTCGTATGGAGGTGCAAATGCACCGAAGCTTTGGTGCTACGATGTCTGTTACGACCCCAGCCACGGTGCCGACAACAAATGGATTCCCACATACTGCTTCACAGAGAACGAATTCCTACCCCAGGATTATGAAGTCATGTCCTGGTTCACCTCTACACATAGCCGATCCTTCTTCACACGCTATGTAACGGCCACAAAAATGATCATGGGTGCTGACAGGGAGAATATTGTCGGTAGTGTCACTCTATTCAAGGAGGCTATTATGGAGCAGACAGGCAGTGAGCGCAAACTCATCAGGAAGTGCAAGACAGAAAGAGAGCGCACTGAGTTGCTGAAAAAGATTTTCGGGATTGAGTTGACTGAGGAAGAGAGAGAGAGCATTTCTCCTGCTAGCAGATTAGGTTAATTATGCAAAAAGTGCCCAAACGCAAAAGCTTAGGTCATTTGGGCGCAAATGTGTTGCTTTTTGCATCCTCAGGCCGCCGTGAGAGAAAAAAGGCGACTCACACAAATGTTCTTTCCTAGGACTATTACGTGATCGCTCTTGGCTATGCGTGTTTGCCCTTCCCGAGTTGCGTTTAGAGTTTCTTCCTACTGCGTCGTTCCCAAACAAAATTGCTCTCCGACCACATGGTCATTGCAATGACAATTCCTGCAATAGTGACTGTGGCTGCATGATACCTTTATCACGGCAAGTCAAGGTATCAGCCGCGGATTTGATATCAAGCACATTCGAGTCAGCTGAGCAGAGCAGAACCCATGTCAATCAATGATAGTAAACATATACCCCTCCAAAAATTGTAATTTTTGATTACTGCTGATAAAGGAGAGATGGGATGACAAAGGAGCGCGGTCAATCAGGACACGACTAGTGATAGGTACCGGAGATAGGATGGTACTCCCCGGTTTCTCCGCAACCCTACCCCGCCAATCTCAATGCATGGACAGAAGCGGATCCACGCGAGGTATGCAACCTTTGCTGGTGTTGGAGGACACTATCACGAGTATGGCGCACTGTGTATTGCAGACCATATAGTATTCACTCGGTCTGTCCTAGCGAGTCTACTCCCATTGAACATTGCAACCTTCGGGTAACGGCGGCCACGAATACACCTTGTTTGACATTTAACACCAACAACATCATGACGGCCGGTACTCGAATACTCCCTGTCGTCGAAGTCAAGTCAGTTCCGACAGGAAGCGCGGAGTTCGAGGAATTACGCTGGGCCAAGTTGAACAAACTCGATGCAAAGGTCCCCAAGGACTTATATCTCCCATCCACTTTGATCGAGAATCCTCCACTGGACGTAACACAGATCCCTCGTACATGTGGAATTCTCACCCCCGAAGAAATCGAGATAACAGAATCTTACGATGCAGTTGGACTGGCTGCGGCGATCGCTGAACGCAGATACACCGCTGTCGCTGTTGCGAAGGCGTTCTCAAGGCGCGCTATCATCTGTCATCAAATCACTTGTTGCTTGACACAGTGGTTTCCTGAGGATGCTATCAAACAAGCTCAAGCACTGGATGACCATCTTGCTCTGACTGGCAAAGTCGTGGGTCCCCTACACGGTGTTCCCATCAGTATAAAAGAGCATATCCGCATCAAGGGACAGGACACCTGCTTTGGGTTCATGGCGGCGACTGAGTCCAGCAGCGAAGATGCAGACTTGGTGGTTTTGTTGAGAGCTGCAGGTGCAGTGTTCTACGTTAAGACAATGCAACCACAAGGTCTCTTACATCTGGAGAGTGACTCCCCTCTCGGGAGAGTCCTCAATCCCTACAATATCAATCTATCCGCGGGAGGTTCTTCGGGTGGTGAAGCTGCCTTGTTAGCTCTCCGCGGCTCCGTCCTTGGCGTCGGGACAGATATAGGCGGTAGTGTTCGCGGACCGGCAGCGTTCTGTGGTATATATGGCTTCAAACCCACTGCCTACACGCTGCCCATCAGCGGCCTCTCCCCTGGGGCGTTCCCTCCAGCATTGAACATCATGCCCTCTGTTGGACCGATGTGTAGATCACTCCGGGACTGTGATCTGTTCATGCGCAGCGTCCTCGAGCAATGGCCCTATTTGGTCGACCCTTTACTGATACCACTTCCTTGGACCGGTCTCAAAACTCCCACGAGCGCGAGGAAGCTCAAAATCGGCATTATGGTCACGGATGGTATGATCACCCCAATGCCACCGATCACTCGTGCTCTGGCATGGGCAGAGTCCCGTCTCCAATCTTTTGCTGGAGTGGAGGTCAAATCCTTTAGACCTTACCAAGCAAAAGAAGGACTTACGCTTGTTCGCCGACTTTTTCTTCCAGATGGCGGTGTGGGCTTTAGAGCCCTTCTCGCCGCAATAGGAGAGCCGGAGCATCATCTGTCTACAGCTGTGCTTTCCACAGCTACGGATGCCAGCAGCCTTGGTGCTGTAGCTCAACTACGCGTGGATCGTGACGACTATCGGAGACATATGGCCGCGCACTGGAACGCTGAAGACGTGGATGTGGTCCTCATGCCTGCTTTCGTAGGACCTGCATCTGCTCATGACACTGCGATCTACAAAAGCTACACCAGTGTATGGAATGTAGTCGACTATCCTTCGATCGCCATTCCGACGCCCCTTTTTGCAAAGGCGAAGGGCCAGGAGACATATCTGGACCAGAATTTCGTCGGGCAGGAAGATCAATACGTCCGTCAGGCGTACGAAGAGACATGCTTCGAGGGCGCACCACTCGCATTACAACTTGTGACGCGTAAGCATCATGACAACCTACTCTTTGGGGCTCTGGAACTTCTCAGGAAGCCACTTCAGCTCCATTGATTGTATGGATATGCTTCATCTGTTTTCTTTTGTGTTGAACTTTAAGATTAAAGACAAGCTTCTGGATATTGAGACCAAGGTCGCGGCAGGCTTGTATATATCAATCTTTAGATGCATCAACGACACATCTCGTCGGCTGAAGAACAATCCTATCCTCACTCACTTATTGAAATGGTAGCAAGGAGCCCATGACACTGGGGGTTTGATTGTTGAAACTAACAACAGTTGAACTCTTCAACTCATCGATTCGGCAGCTCTAGCCCTCCATCTCTCACCGTACCTTGTGATGCTCCAGATGACCAAGACACCAGAAATCAGACACCACACTCCGAGAAAGGTGAATAGCCAGCCATTTCCGCACCAATCCAGCAACGGGCTAGCGACGAAGATGCCTACACATGAGAAAATGTTGCGCACAAAATTGTTCAAGGCGATACCGTGACTAGCTTTCTTAGGCATCAACTCAGTGAGCATAGTTGTGGCCACAGCAAAAATCAGCATGCTTCCAATGCCGAAGAAAAAGTTTGCAATCATCGGAACGAGCCAGAAGGTGCCGTAGCGAGCGGACCAGCCGTACCAGATCAAGGCCAAAGGAAAGATCATAGCACCTAGCCATGCATTCTCTCGCAAGCGGTCTTCAGGCCGATAGATGAGACGCCCTTCTTCATCGTATCGGTTCGCCTTCCTAGCCTCGCGAGCCATTATCTTGTCGACCCATTTGCCGCCCAGGAAGGATGTAACAAAATAGCCCAAGGAGTTCGGAATATAAAGCAGGCCCACAATAATGGTGGGAAAGTGATATGGTTCTGAGTCAAAGGTTTGTTGAACAGAAATGTTCAGGACGTTTAGAGAACCGAACGTGATGCTCGCGTAGTAAACAACCAACGCTACGGCAGGTATGCGAAGGTGCAGGACAATAGCGAGAGGGTCGACGAACCACTGGCGGAGGACCGTAATGTAGCCTCTCGACTTTAGGGCTATGCTTTGTCTTGTGCTAATGCGTGATAGGGGCGCTCTTGCGTCGGTCAGGGATGATGTGGTGGGTGCAGGCAGGCTTGTAGATTTAAGTGTCTCTGGCAGAAAGAAAAGCACAAAGAACCAGAGAACTGCGCCATAAATGGTCATGAACCACATGCAGCTTCTCCAGCCGAGTCCTTGAGTCAGTGCTCCGCCAATGATCGGAGCGACAAGAGGGCCGCATAGAGGACCTGCGACGTTACATATTAGTCTCTATACTATCCCCAATAGGGTCGGGCTGAACGGACCTAAGTAAAACATGGACATGGCGTTGCCACGTTCTTTGACGTGCCAGATATCGGCGATTGTACCAGCACCAACTGCTTGTACCGACGCGGCAGCACCTCCAGAGAGAATGCGCATGACAATGAACATGGCAATGTTAACACTGACAGCGCTCAAGACGTTGAATATTACGAAGACAAAGAAGGAGACCAGGTAGATTGTCCTTCGCCCGAGAATTTCAGAGAAGCTACTCCACCAAAGTGGGAAGATAGACATGCTAAGCATATACAAGGCAACCGCAAGATTGGTCACAGTGGATGGAGAGTTGAACTCAATGTCGATTCGCGAAAGGCCAGGTAAGATGATAGAACTGCCCATCGGAGCAGCAGCAGCGGCCGCAGCGACAACGCAAGTGATGAGCCACTTTGTTCTGCGAGCATAATGCTTAGCGTCGTCAACTTCAGCGACCACAGCCAAGCGGGCCAGTAGCCCTGTCCGTTGGCTCCTGGGTACGAGTGCTGGGTTGACGTCTTCACTGGCTATCGAAGCCGCGATCGGTTTCTCTCGTGTCGGTACGTCTCCGTCAGCCGGACTAGTGGCAGGATACATTCCATCGGTCGTCGGTAAAGGTGCAGTAATTGTGTCATACCCTGGCTGATGTCGTATAGGGGCGGGAGGTGTTGAGTTCATTTCGTTTGCTGAGTGCTGCTCTTGTGAGCCCATGTTGGATCGGCGTTATCGTTGCCTGGTGCTCTGCAATTGATGTGCAGGATCTCTGTTGGATGACAGGATGCCGGAAGAACGAAGCAAGTGAGCCATAGTTACGTGCGTCTTTACGCTGTCGTTCACATCGTTCGGGCTCGTCAAAGCTTGAGCGAATTTCTCACTTGGGACTGTCTTGCGCGGGACGACCGAGAGCTCCCCGGGAACTTCTAATCTGGCTAGGATCGCCAACTGCAAGTCAACAACGTTTCCGAGTTTGGACAGATTGATACGGATAACGTTGCCTGACAACAGCCGGTTCTTCCCCGCACGTCCGATTAAGCTCGGTTAGGCGGCAGTCGGATGATGTAATCACACGAACGCCACTTGCATGTTTCTGCCGCCGCCCATCCTGGACAGGGCAGCTTCGAAACTTACCACCGCATTCGCGGTCTTCATGATCCACAGACAAGATGCCATGCGTCACACGACTAATAACCTTAAAGGCATGCACGAAACACGTGTCGTCAGACAAAATATGGATCAGAGCCTACCACAGGTGGGTTGCTGGCGGGCAGATTATGACACACGGGCGAGAGAGCTGGCTGAGAACCCGACTGAGGTTGGAAAGTCCTGCAGCTGCCCGAGCACAGGTTTGACAACCCACTCCATGATTCAAACCAAGAGCCACATTGTACAAGACCGTGATTGATCAACTGAGGTTATCAACTTGATTGTCGGGAGTAGATATTTGTGACTATTTAACTATGTATAATGCGCTACACTCAATTCTGCACAAGGCATATACCTACAGAATGCTGAAGGTAGAAGCGACTCGGATGTCTCTGCTGCTGAATCCAGCTCTGGCTTGGAACTGACCCGAGGGAATGATCCATTGCTGCTGTACGACATCCCAGAAGCTTACGTCTCGTCTCATCAGAGGGAACGTAATATTTTTGGTCTGGCCAGCATCAATCGACACTTTGTCGAACCCTCTGAGCACCTGGACCGGAGTGCGGCCAAAGAACGCGTCGACAGGCTGAGAAAGGTAGAGCTGGGGTACAGCAGCGCCATTGACAGAGCCAGTATTCTTGACACAGACGGTGACTTCGTAAACGATGTCATAGAGAGTAGGATTGCCACCGGGCTTGATCTTGACTTCGGCAGGGCGTGCAGCCAGATTTTGGGGAGCACGACGCTCGATCTTGATGTCGGACATTGAAAAGTTCGTATATCAGAGACCAAAGCCAAACTCGTACTGGACCGAGAGATTGTAGTAGTCGAAGTGACTGTAGTCAATCAAGAGACCCTCTTCGAAATCTGCTTGCCAAGCATTGAGGTCTTCGGTGAGCTTCAGCTCTGGAGAGCTGATAACGCGAGCAAAGGCGTAGTCGGACTCTTCGTAGGCGACAGTGTAAGGAAGCTTACCACTAGGGTTGACATCCCCGTAGAGTACGTCGACCAAGCTATTTCCAGACTGCTCTCCAGGGAAGTGCGCTGCAAGGATAGCAGTGACATTTGGGTGATCACCCCAAGGCATCACAATCGGCCCTGAGGTGTGAGTCACGACAATGGTGTTATTGCACCAGCCTGCAACTGCCTCAACAACCTCAGTACCATTCCAATCAGGAAGGAGATTCGACTTGTCGTAGGCTTCAGTCGCGAATGTCTTCAGTGTGACAATGCAGGCCTCAGGACAAGAATTCAACTGACTGAAAGGGTCAGGCATTGTCAAGAGAGTGTTGTTGAGGATCCACTGCAAAAGAGTTCCATTCTGTATAGTGCGAGCCTTCAAAGCGTCCAGAGGTATTGACAAGTATGATAGACGACCAGTACCTGAGCCGCCACCGACAGCAAGATGGCCATTCTCGAAGTCGCCACTGTTAGTGAGAGATATCGAGTAGAGACCGTTCTTTGGATCAGCAGCATCATTGCCAAAGACCGTAATGCTCTTGGGCTTGCCGAGAGGCAACGCGTTGTTGGTATTCTTGAGGAGGATTGTGCCTGCGGCTCCTAGTTTCCTGATCACGTCTGCGTGGTCGCTGCGGACGTCTACGTTTGCCTCTCCGTACTGGAATGTGTCCAGATATGGCTTTATGCCAAGGAGGCTGATTTCACCGCCTGCAGGGTCGATGAGAGGGTAGTTTTGATCTTGGCCAAGGAGGAAGTATGGGGTCATGATCCGGTGAGCGGCATCGTCCATTCTTGATTCGGGAACACTCCCATTGTTGACGGCATCAGTCAAGTTCTGACCCCAATAAGATGAACCGCCGTGGAAGAATGCGATGGTGCCGGGCATATCCATATCCATACCGGCTTCGGCGGTGGCGACACCATCGTGAGAAGCAAGAAAATCGGAAATAACATAGCCTTGGAAGCCGAGTTCTCCCTTGAGGAGACCATTGATCGCTTTGCTGTTCTGGCAAGCATAAAATCCGTTCAACCTGTTGTAAGAACACTATTTCCCTGTTAGATCGTATCATGTGTTTGCCCTCGACTCTAGGCTTACCATCGTAGAAGCAACGCCAGCCTTGACGGCATTGGCAAATGGCCACATGTATAGCTCGTGCATGGTCCTGTCGTCGATGTTTGCCGAGATTGCCTCGATCGTCTTGCCAATCGGCGACAGAGTAGGCTGTCGTTGGGTTTCTTGTTCATTGCCAATCCAATGCTTGGCACAAGCCTGAACACCGGTTCCCTGCAAACCTTCAATGGACTCCTCCATAGCAACTCCCGATAGGTATGGATCAGGAGAGAAGCCCTCCCAATTACGGCCAGCATCTGCGGATCTTCCAAGAGGCCCAGCCTATCACACAGACATGATCAGCACAAGTTTGAATGGGAGTGCTGGATAATATGAGTGTGCTTACCGCGGGTCCAAAAGCTAAATGAGCTCCTTTGCCTCGAAACTCAGCCCCGAGGTGTTCACCCCGCTGACGGATTAGATCGCGATCCCAAGACGAGGCAGCAGCGATACCAGCTGGAAAGACAGAATCGAATGTCGCTTGTCGAATCGCAAGAGGACCATCATGTAAACAGATACCGGGGAATCCTACGCGAGTGATGGGAGCGATATTGTCTATTCGGAATGAGTACCAGAGGAAGGAGAAGAAGTAGTGCAGATCAAATTACCGACGCAAGGCCCATATGGTGTTCCTGTGAGCACACCAACCTTCTCCTCCAAGGTCAGCTGAGCAACCTATTGCTTTGCTTTTTGTAAAGCAACCTCCCAACCAACACCGGTTGTATTTGCTGAATTCTGTCAGCAAAGCTACTGAAGTCTTGATTCAAGTCACGTACGGCTAGGAAAGACTGCCGGACTGCTGGTGTAAAGCGAGTGATCCCAAAAAGAGTTTTGCGAGGAGACGCCCTGTCCGAGAAGGACAGAAGCTGTGGCAGCACATCTGAACAGGTACATGTCGCAGCCAATTTTGTTAATCCGACAATTCAGCTAATTGGACTTCAATGAGTCCTTACTATATCCTTCTTTCTGTTCACCGCCGACGGCGCCGACGAGGCCGTGCGAAGCTGGGCCATGCTGGGCTGTGCTCGGCTGTGCTCGGCGTGATATCGCAGGGCACTTTCGGAGGTCCGATGAGGGACGGAAGATAGCGGACAATCCATTCCTCTACGCGCTTTCCTCGTGGAAGTGCAATCGCAGCTCAGCCAGATACAGTGATAAAGTAGACGGATATCCCGACACCGTTACCCGGCAGTCAGTTTACTTGAGCTGAGAACGAAATGCATGGCCACGCTTATCTCCATATCTTTGCGACCCCAGATTCGAGGCATGCGAGTCCCTATCTGTCTTATCGGAGACTTAGTTCGGCCCCAGTCTCGCTTCCCCGGAATATGCCGGTGCCATACCCAGGCCTAGACAATACTCATATAACATAGTCAATATGCTGAACTACGATTTCCAGCTTCAAGCGACCATTTCCAAGCTCTTTCTTGTCCAAAGTCCCCATCATGTCATCTAGATCCACTCCGCTCAGCGAGGAGCATGTCGCTTTCTCCAAGTTAGAGAAAGGCCCAATTGGAGAAGATCTCATCACCGACACACAATTGGGGGAATCCCGCGAAATCTTCCAGACACAAGTGGATGGTGTAGAATTCAGGACGGTCAGTTGGCAGCGTGCCACTGTGGTCTTTGTCAAGATCGGCTTCGCAATGAGTATTCTCAGCATTCCAGGAGCTCTGGCAACCCTTGGAGCCGTTGGGGGCTGCCTGGCGATTGTTGGTTTCACTGCCCTGAATACCTGTAAGTGTTTCCGAAGACAGAATGTCTGTCTCCATGCGCGATGCTACAGTACTGATCATGAGGCGAATAGACACTGGTCTCATCCTAGGTGATTATCGCAACAACCACACCCACTGCCACAGTAAGCCACCCTTGCCCAAAGCAGACAGATTTGCAGGACTGACAATTTGCAAAGTGTTAGGAGACATGATGGGCAATATCTGGGGATGCGCTGGAAGCGAAATAGTCGGTGTCATGACCGTCGTCGGCCAGATTCTCGTCACGGCTGGCGGAATCGTTACGACAGGCACTGCGTTCAACGCGCTCACAGACCACAGTGCTTGCACAGCGGTCTTTGCGCTCGTATCGGCATTCCTGATCACCATGTGTTCATCTATCCGCACCTTCTCGAAACTAGGTTGGCTGACTTGGTTCGGGTTTGTAACCTTCACCATTGCAATTTTCGTCTTCACAGTTGCAGTCTCGCAGGTGGATCGCCCTGCAGCTGCTCCCGAGGATTTTGAGCTCGGCTTTGTCGCCGTTGCTTACCCGACTTTTATTCTGGGCATGGTTGCCTCGGTCAACATCTTCATCTTTTCAGCTGGCACTTCGATGTTCCTGCCGGTCATTTCTGAAATGAAACGCCCGCAAGATTACCGCAAGGCTTGTATATGGTCTGGCATCGTCGTCGGTCTCATGTATCTTGTCTTTAGTCTTGTCATCTACCGCTATTGCGGAATCTGGCTTTCGACCCCGGCTTTCGGCAGTGCCGGCACACTCATCAAGAAAATCTCGTACGGCATCGCAATGCCGGGATTGCTTATTGGTGTGGGCATATACCAGCACGTACCAGCGAAATACCTCTTCGTGCGCTTCCTGAGGGACTCAAAGCACCTGCAGAAGAACAGTTTCACCCACTGGGGTACCTGGCTGGGTATCAACTTCGCCTTGGGCAGCGCAGCATACATCGTAGCCGAAGCAGTACCGATTCTGAACTATCTGCTCGCTCTGGCAGGTGCAGTCGTCTACGTTAACTTCAGTTTCGTGTTCCCGGCGTTCCTTTGGATGGACGATCACAAAGGCTACAGATCTGGCACCCTTGTACAGCAGGTAAAGTTCTGGTTGCATGTGGCGATCGCATTACTCGGCGTTTTCATGATGATTGGTGGAACGTAAGTCTCTTTCGAATCTTGTCAGCATATGATCTTGTCACTCACCTGTTGCCAGATATGCTGTCGTGGTTGCGATTAGAGAGGCATTTGCGACCAGACAAATTTCGCAGGTCTTTGACTGCAAAGACAACTCGGGTTACGTCCGATGATGTCATAGTCGAGACGTAAGGGCCGCATGCCGGGGTATCCTAATATGTTCCATGTCGAGCGAAAGGTCTCCAGGGGGTATTGTCGCAAGATGACGAACGAGGAACGTGGTCCGATCTCAATATGTTGCCGTTGGTGATGGGAGCTAACTGCCTGTCGGGATGGCGGCTTGCTGGCCCGTGTGAACCCTTATCGCGTTCGGTCTTCTGGCGCAGAAGCTCCCCGTGGACGATCGCGCTTGAGTGCTTTGCTAGATGAGCCTCAGCCGTTGTGTATCGTAACGTCGTCGATCGGAATTGTGTGCGACTAGTTGAAATAATATCGTGCGTTTACAAATTGCAAAGCCCGTCGTATCAACCTCCCGAACTCTCTGTCCTATTTTTCTTCCTCGTCCGTGTTCACAACGAAGTGGTGTAGCCGAGTGCCGCTGGCGTTGTCAGGCCCTGGCATTACCGTTCATGGACACCCTGCTTACGAGTGGGCAGCTCATGAATCGGTTCGAATTTAGACGGACTGGCCGTTGGAAGATTGAAAGCAAATGCTGGATCGGTGGATGTTGCCATGCGCACTGTAGCTGTGTACGTGATCTTATCGATAACCGAACGCGAATGCGAAACTCACATGGAGTTGGGGGACAATGCCTATGGTACCTGTGGACCGCATGTGAACAAACCTCTAGCGACCTGCATGATAGCTTGAGAATTCTACGATCGAAACAAGGCTACATCGCTTCGCTCCGATTCTTCATTAATGCAAGCGCCGCAAAGCGCTTAATCCGCACGAGCCGTTGGGCGAGTGTGCCGTTGCACCACATGATTTTTACTCTACGAGAGGGATTAGTTTCATGGCTCTCTCCCGACGTCTCCGAACTCCCCGAACACGACAATAGCGAAGCCAGTATCGACGGCTTTGAGCGTGCCTAAACGACCCAGTTGCGAGCATTGGACCATTAGTCGATGGCTGATTGGTTGCCGGCAACCCCGGCTGTTACCCGAAGCCTCAATACCGAGGGAGTGTCGCTGAAAACCGTAGATAGCAGATAGAGCTGATGGTAATTCGTGACAAGCGTACTGTCCAAAAGCTGTTGTCAAGTTGATTAATAGCAGCACGAGTAACCGTAAAGATCTATTCCAGCATCAATCGTGTCCTCCTGCTCCGAAAAAGCTCACATATCCACGCAAGCACAATGGTCAAGACAGTCAAATTTAGGGACCAAGAGGTCCCCGTACCAGGTTTTGGTGCGATGGGCATCAATTCGTCCCTCGGCCGAGATCTTAGTTACGAAGAGGCGGAGCCTGTACTTCTCCGGGCTCTCGAGCTCGGCTGTACCTTTTGGGACACTGCCGTAGGTCGCAATCCCTCTGCAGACAAACTGGTCCGCTGACAGCCATTTCTTGAAGGTTTCTTATGCCGCTGGTCTCAATGAGAAGATCTTGGGGGATTTCATCAGGAAGCACAACTGCCGCGACAACATCTTCCGTATGGCTCTTAGAATCCTTATTGCATATGCAGACAGCTAATACCGAAAGTCGCATCCAAGTGCGGTGTAGCTGTTTTCGAGGACGGTGCTGTCACAAACAAAGCCTCGCACATCCAAACCTACATCGATGGGAGCATCGAGCGACTCGGCTTCACGCCAGACTTGTACTACTTGCACCGCATGGACCGTGGTAGGAACAGCAAAATCCCGTTTCTCGTGATCGACATTGACGTGAGTGCACAGGCACACCACTCGAAGAATCCATAGCTGCTCTTGACTCGCTCCGAAAGGCAGGCAAGACGAAGTACATTGGTTTGTCGGAATGCTCAGCAACGACCTTGCGCAAGGCAGATTCGAGTAAGTCTCGTCATTGATGCAGAGGTGCGCGAATGCTAATTTTCTCATAGTCGCCAAGATCGACGCTGTCCAAGCAGAATACTCTGCCTTCGAGACCCTTCACGAGCGAGACGATCTTGTCGACACCGCCCGTGAGCTTGACATTGCGTTTGTCGCCTATGGTCCTCTGGGTCATGGTTGGCTGGTCGACAACTTCCCCTACCAGTCACCAGAGGACTTCAAAGAGGGCGACTACAGAAGAGAAAGTGCGTATTTATTTGCACAATCCATCCCTCTGTTTCCTCGCTGACATCGTCACCAGTTCCCAAGTTCCAAGGCGAAAACTTCTACTCCAATAAGAAGATAGCCGATGGCTTCAAGCAGCTTGCCAAGCTCAAGAACTGTTCTGTCTCGCAGATTGCTATCGCCTGGGTGACGGCGCAGGGCATGATTGCTCTCCCTGGAACAGTGAAGCCGGAGCGTCTTGACGAGAACTGGGCTGCAAGAGACATAGATCTGACAGAGGAGGAGTTGAAGCAGATGCGTACGATCATTGACACCTTGAAGCCTGTTGGTGATCGCTACAATGAGGCGGCAGCATTGAACATCGGGATCTGATCGCAAACTAGAGTAAAATGTCTCAAGGTTGAACAAAAGGCTCACTACATAAACTTTCCTCATCTTTGATATCCGTTCCGGTGATCTCACGTGACAATAACGATCCACTGGGCTCAGAACAACTCTGAAGCAAACTCACGGTTGATCAGAGTGCGTCCTGCATACAAGAGGCTCAGACTTTGCATGGTCAGAGATTCAGGAGCGGTAGTATTCACAGGGGCAGCAAAGATGTAGCGAATGCCACTGCAATGTTTTGTTGCCCCGACCTGTGTAACTAATCTATATAGCAGCGTCGAAATGTTCAAGGCGTGATATCGATTATACTGCACTTCTCACGATCAGATGAGCTTCTATCAAGGAGTCCACTTTAGCTTGAAATCGGCCGATTTGCTACAAGTCCTTGTGGACAACTTTCCACAGCGCTAGACCCTCCTCCCACCTTGAGTCCTTCCAAGTATCTGTTCCGCCATCTTCTCTCCATCTTCTCGCTTCATTTGATTTGGTACAACCCCATTCAATATCCTCGCCTTTCACGAATGCCGCAAACTGTTGGTTCCATCCTCTCAACCAAACCTTTTCTTGGTCGGTCAGGCCATCAGGAAAGTCGTAGCCCCAAAGCCAAATGGGTATATCTGAAGTATGAGTAATTCCCAGTTCTACTGGCAGAATGGCCTTGATACAGTCCAAGCGTCGATGGAGACTGTATCTGAAAACATCTTTGCCTGGCTCAAGCCCTTCCTCCAAAAGAGCATTGTAGAATCCTCGTTGGAGTCCATGAACTTGAAGATCAGCATATATTCGGCCAAACAAATCTGGCCAATTCTCGCAGTTCCCAGGCAGTTTGCCCTCAGAGCCGCAGTAGTGATTCAGGATGTCGTCAACAACGCCCGCGGGATACTCTGCGCAAAAGCGGACTCGCAATGAGTTCAAGGAGTCTTCAGGCGTGCGCCAGACCCGATAGATTGTGTGCTCGTCCCGGCACTCTCCACTGAAGAGCTTGATTCCACGATTCTTCATCCTGCGGGCGAAATCTCCGCTGTTGATATTTGTGAACAGATTCTGCGGATAGAATTTCCCGTCTGCCATCGGCTTGAACTCCGAGATGACCATCGTCTTCTGAGCGTCGACAAGTTGTTGATAAGGGATTGCACGAAGTAAAGCGAGCTTTTTGGCGTCACTTATGTTTGCAGGTATGTCAAGTTTGCAGAGCAACTCTTCAAATTGAACCTGATGTTCTTGCAGCGTTTTTGGTCGTACTCCAGGGCCGTTTGAGAGCATAATCACCCTTTTGATGATCTGGTCTCCAGCAGGCACTTGGTACAGCTCGTGTGCTAATTGGTGAAACGTCGAATAAGCACCTGCTGAATATCCGCCAACGGTGATATTGTGAGGATTGCCACAGAAGTTGCTGATGTTGGCGTGAACCCACTCCAACGCCGTACGTTGATCCCAGAAACCCATATTACCAACAGCCGATGTCTCGCCAGACTCAGCTTCGGCTGCGAAGGCTGCTCCAGTGAGGAATCCAAACACATTCAATCGATATGTGGGAACCACCACTATAGCTTTGAATGCAGACTCGCCCAGGAGTGATACAAGAGAAGATGGTTTCCAGTTTGATGTGCCAACTTGTAAGAATCCGCCATGGATGTAGAATAGGACTGGCCAGCCCTCCTTGGGTGCATCTGTAGATGGGATCCAGACGTTCAGCTGTAGACAATCTTCGTCTATCGTTGAAGGCTCGGGTGGATTTCGACTCGGACCCTGAGGGCATACCTTGCTGGCCCCTGCGAAGCGGCCTGGACAGGCCTCGGTACCATATGTATGGGTCGTTGGGAGCTTGCGAGGAGGACGAAAGCGCTGTGCTCCAGTTGGCGGGAGCGCATAAGGCAGACCTCCAAAGTAATGGAGAGCGGGACCTGATCCAGAAGATATGGTGAGACCTTCAAGATATCCCAGTGACCCTGCTTTGAGCTTGTACCTTTTTGTGTTGTTCGCCATGGCGACTGCTCGCAATGCTTTCAATGGCTGAAGCCTCGACAAGTTAATTCAGCTTGGCACCCGACCTTCTGACCCTTTGTTTTCTTCACCCAAAGTTGGGTGGGCAACACAGGGTATAGAGAAGTATTGCATTAGCTCGGCCGCATGGAGAGTGTAGTTGATATTTCCTTCTTTGACCCATTCCCATCTGTCAGGTCTCGATGCACATCTCATGAGCTTATCGCCGAGCTCGGTGACCGGCAATCTTGCAGGAATAGAGTTTCGGATCAAGTAAGGCGCGGGCAGGGGAGCGGCTCAGTACCCGGTTATCTCCCCGACACCTGCCGATCCTTCGCAACTCTTCCACGAGCCCAGATGCCAGCGAACGTAGCGATCGATGAGCAGATAGATACATAAAAAATGAGTTCCAGGCTAAGTGCATCATCAGTTAGCCATTAACAGCTTGTCGTCATGGCTGCCAAAATCCCTGGATCAGTTTTGTTCGAAGCCATTCAACGCCATGACCCTACCTCTACAGCAATAGTCGATGCCGCATCCGGAACGGAATATACATACGGTGCACTGCTACGCGACGTGTCATGTGTCAAAGCGACGCTGTTGTCCAAGTTAAGTCGGAACGTTCTTCCTGGTGAGCGCATCGCATTCATCGTCGAGAATGGCTACAACTATGTTGGTAAGAACCTGACCACATCAGCGCACATTGTTGCATAAATTAACTAACAATGAGCAATAGTAACGTTGCTGGCAATCTTCGCCTGCAATGCTATCGCTGTCCCTTTGGCGATTTCATTTCCTGCATTTGAGCTGAGACATGTCCTAAACATCAGCCAGACTGCGGTCCTTCTCTCATCCACCAAGTTCGCAGGGAAAGCCGGAGAAGTCATGACAGAGGGTCTCGATTCATTACCGAGCTTTTACGAGGTAGAAACCCTCCTCGATGGATCGGAAAAGCTCGCGGCGTCTGAGTTCAGAGTGCCTTGCACTCTGAATGCTGGCATGATGCTGTTCACATCTGGAACTACCGCCAAGCCGAAGGGTGTCATGCTTTCTGATGCTACCCTCGCCGCTCAAGCACAGAGCTTGCTGGTAGCATGGACTTATTCGCCATCCGATCGTTTGCTGCATGTTTTGCCGCTCCATCATATCCATGGTACAGTCAACGCGATTCTGACGCCACTACTTGCCGGGAGTAGCATCGAGTTCATGTATCCTTTCAAAGCGGACGAAGTCTGGAAACGCTTCGCAGCCCCTTTCATGAAGCCGGGAAAGAACGGTGCCCCAGCCGTGGCCATCTATCCAATCACATTCTTCACTGCAGTCCCCACCATGTGGTCTCGGATGCTTGATGCATATTCATCATTGCCACCCCTCCTTCAGGAGGCTGGTAAGAAGGCTATCAGCCGCGAAAACCTTCGTCTAAACATCTCGGGCTCGGCAGCTCTGCCTAAGCCGATACGTGACGGATGGAACGAGCTCTCTGGTAACAACACTCTGCTCGAACGATACGGGATGACCGAGGTTGGCATGGCACTCTCTTGTGGCCTCGAGGAAGAAGATCGAATTGACGGGTCGGTCGGCTGGCCTTTACCCTCTGTGGAAGCTCGTCTTGTGGAAACTGACGACAGGACCGGTACCCAATCAGTAATTGAACCGGGGGCTGAGATCGATCCTCTGTCGGGCAAAGAGCGCCTGGGCGAAGTGCAGTTGCGTGGCCCTACCGTGTTTAGCGGGTACTGGGCCGATCCGGTAGCAACCGCGAAGGAATTCACAGATGATGGATGGTTCAAGACTGGTGACATAGCCGCCCGGCGACTCCTTATTGGATCCGGACAAGGCCGTTCTAGCTCATGGGCCCAAGGTCCTGCATACTTCATTCAAGGACGACGAAGCGCGGATATCATCAAAACTGGAGGTGAGAAGGTATCGGCTCTTGAAATCGAGCGTGAGATACTGTCTTTACCAGAAGTCAGTGAGGTTGCCGTTCTCGGTCTCCCGTCTCAGATATGGGGCCAAAAAGTTGTGGCTGTCATTGTGCTTTCGCGTGAGTGCCAGGAAAGTGGCAAGCCTTGGGGATTGACTGAGTTGCGACAGGATCTGAAGAATCGCCTGGTTGGCTACAAGATCCCACAGGATGTTGAAGTTGTTGAGACAATCAAGAGAAACGCGATGGGCAAGATCAACAAGAAGGAGTTGGCACCGGCGGTCTTTGGCGATATTGAGAAGATCCGAAGGAGGAGTGTGGATCTGTTTGAGAAGAAAAACGCACTCAAGAAGGCCACCGACGCAAAGCAGTAGTAATTCAGAGAGATTCACAGTTGTACCTGCCTATTTGTCTTACATCAACGTCAAAACAGTGAACATTATGAATTCTGCGTCTGCTGTCACTCAACTCCTTTTCGCGTGTGTCGTGAACATCAACTAAGCCATATAGGCTCATGCCAAGCTTTCGTTGTGGTTCGTACTGGTGCGCAAGATCTAGCTCAGATCATGGATTAAGAAGCCATCTGATTGTAAAGACGAGCATACGCCATGTTAGACGTTCGATGGAATATTGCTGCCAGCCGATACTGCTACAATGCGTCGCGTCAATGCACACGATCATTACTTTCGTAGAACATACGTAGGGAACGCCAACCAGTTGTAGTCATCTCAGTTGCATTTTGGAAGTGAACAAACTGTTAGCCTGGAGAGATGTTGTATTGAATTAGGCAACCAAGTGACCGATCATTGAGTCGCTATGGAGTCCCCAGATTAAGGGGGGGGGGCTACTTCCACCAACCCAAATCATCTCATTTACATTGCAGGCGCAGAAAGTACCCGCTCTATCTGTTGAGCAGCACCCAGCACCTTCTCTTCTTCAAACTTGCGCCCTACGATCTGTATGCCGATATGGTGGCCATGCATGGTCTGAAGATCATACAAACCCTGACACCAAGCATCAGCGTCATTGCGTGCTACATAACCTGGATCCAGCTCAACGTCGATTGCGTTGTCCACTTTTCCTGCTGGGAATGACAACGCGGGATAATCGAGAAAGTTGAAAAGCTTCGTGTAGCCTGTCCAGGGGGCGACGCGGCCATGGGGGACCGCGGGGTGCGCCACAGTTGGCACGAGAAGTATGTCGATCGGGCGTCCCGACTCAGACCGCATATTGTTCCACATCTCGAGATACGCCTGTTGAGCCGCAACCTTGCGTTTGTTCACTTGCCAGTATTGGTAAACTGAGATCGCGGGACCACGATTTACAAAGGCCTGTATCTGCGGCACAAACGGTTCGCCACCTTGCAACACGGCGGTCCGAATGTCTTCACCACCGTCTGCGGAGTAATACTCGTCCTGCCATAGTGAGCTTTGCTTGTGGGGCAATGTGGAATTCACTGACTTGGACAGCGATACATCTTCTGTTCAAAGAGATGTCCCATTCCACGATTTCATGACCAGCAGCTTGCAGCTTCGCGACTGTCTCGTGGAACACACGAGCTACTGGTGGCAGAGGCTTGACCACGCCGTCATCCGGCATAATACCAATGACGAGTGGCCTGGAAGAGAGCGTCTCAAAAACATCGTTTCTCCACGGCATTGGAGGCAGTTGTGAGTCCAGCTTCCAATGTTCTGCTTCGATCACCAGCTTTGTTACAGCAATCATTGAATTTAAAGACCTTGTTATGGGACCAACGGCTGATGGTACATGCTGTTGGCCTTCGATTGAAACCTCAACGCCGCGATACGACATTCGCCCGCTCTGCAGAGAACGGTCAGCTAATGTCACAAATCGACTGTCTCCAGAACTCCTTACACTTGGTTTGAAGCCCCAGAGCCCATTCATGTGGCTCGGAATTCGTATGGAGCCACCAATGTCAGTACCCCACCCGACCAGTGAGCCATGCAGAGCCAATAGAGCACCTTCTCCACCAGTGGAACCTCCAGGGGTAAATGTTGGGTTCAAAGGATGAGTGGTCAGACCCCAAAGCGGGTTATTCGTCTCACCCCACTGCAAAAGTTAGTCTTCATTGTCACAACTTGTTGGTGAATGTCACATACCATGATGCTCTGTGGCAGATTTGTTTTCGCAAGGACTATAGCGCCGAGGCCCTGCAAGAAATCGACGAGAAGTGCATTCGAGCTAGCCGGACTGAACGCACGGCCGACGTAGCCCAGGGTAGAATCGAACCCCTTCATATTGAACTGATCTTTAAGAGAGATCGGTACGCCGTGAAGGGGACCTTTTAATCTACCGTGCTCTTTTCGATAGTCGTCAAGATGCCTCGCTTGTATTATGGCACCATCGAAGCAAATCTCTGTGAGACAGTTGGTCTTTGTGATCAATTAGCATCCTCTCAAGTACTTCGGTTGCAATGCCTGCTGACCTTTGCCTGTGCTTGGCAAGCTCTCGTGGATCGTCAGCTTCAACATAGGTTAGAGACGAATAGGCTTTTGACTTACCGCTTGATGTAGGCACGGACGACTGCTTCAGCGGTGAACTCGCCAGCATGCAATCTGTTCGTCAGATCCTTGAGGTCATCTATTAAGACAATCTTTTCGTCTTGCACTGTATTGTTGCTTTCGCAGTGTGATTGAATCAACGCATCGCGAATGGCGACCTTGTCCGCCACCACTTCCTGCCATGGCCGTCTGTTCCCATTGGTGACTTTGGGTCTGGCAATCTGCTGTGATGGTTCCTCGATCATGCTTTCCGTCATCTTCAATCCCTATAATACTGAGCAATGACGAAACTGTGGTATTGTCGTCGGACTAAAACGCTTGAGTCGTTTGATTCTAGGCTCACGGAGCGCCGAAAGAACAAGGTCTATGTTTCTTTGGAATGTTAGACTGTTGCGACAAACTCGGAGTGGTTGTGACTCTACAGCCTTGAAACGCGACTCGTTCTGGTTTAGGTAGGGAACTCCGGCATATGCCCGACGAGCCTGAGCTTCTGGTCGCATCTAGAGAAACGACGCATCCTATCGGTGATAAGCTCGCTGATCTGTAGCGACCTCGAAAGATTGCTTAGGTGATAGATAGACAACGCCTGACACGTGCTCAGGCTGCATGGAGATAAGTCAGTGGCGCGCGCGGAGCTGCCGAGGAGCGCCCGCTGTCTCCGCGGGCCCAAAACCACCTCGAAAGTCATGTCAACCCAACACGCACTGGCCGTATACCAAGAACAACTTCACACAACATTGCGAATTAATTCCAAGATGAGTGCCAGCACCGATAGAGTACTCGCAAAGCCAGCCGGCCTCTGCTGTCTCAAAGGCTCCATTCACTCCGGGCAGCCACAGGGAAAGACAGAGCAGATAGATGGTGTTGAAACATACATCGCTACCCCAGACCCCAAGATTGCAAATGGCAACGTCTTGCTTTTCTTTCCTGATGCATTCGGCTTGTACGTGAACAGCCACCTCATGATGGACGCCTTCGCCTCGTGCGGCTATCTGACCCTCGGCGTGGATTATTTTCTTGGGGTATAGCGAAGGATCAGCCTGTTTCAATCCTGGCGAAGGCTGACAGCGATGCAGGATCCCGTCTGGAAACACACTTGGTCTCCACTCAAGGACACAAGTTTCGACATGAACGCTTGGAAAGAGAAACATCACAAGAGTTCTGAGGAAATTGCTGCAAAATGGACCGCGGCTGTAATGTCCCGATACGGCACGTCTGAGAAGACCAAATTTGCCTGTGTGGGTTACTGGTCAGTGAAATGCTGTTGATGACAGGAAACGCATGCTGACTTATGACCGAAGCTGGGGTGCACGAATTGTTTGTCAACAACTCTCCAAAGATGGAATCTGCAAAGTGGGGGCAATAGCTCATCCGTCCTTTATGAATGAAAGCCATGTCTCTGCCGTCGAAGGTATTTTAAAGCAGCCCTATCGTGCAACGTCTACAATTAACGCGTCCGAAAGCTCCGTTATATATCGCTGCACCCAGTACGGATTCGCTGTTCTTGCCTGACGCACGCGCTCGAACAGTCGAAATCCTGACACAGAGCGAGAAGAATTTCAATATGCAAATATTCTCGAACGTCACCCACGGCTTCGCGGTAAGTCAACCCTAGCAGTTGCCAACGCATACCATACTGACAATTTAAGACACGTGGCAATCTTACCGACTCTTACGAAAAATGGGCCAAGGAGCAGTGTTTCGAGAACTTTGTTGAATGGTTTGACTATTGGTTGTCGCAACATGAAGTCCCCGCGAAGGCGGATTAGTGTAAGGCCAATCAGCGGGAAGGACACACCGGCTTAGAAGACCAATGAAGTTTCATTCCGCATACTTACCTAACCAATATGAGGCGGCGAAAGAGGCCAGATTCGTGACGAAAGAGGCTTAGCGTTAGGGTTGCTTACTATATTTAGGTATCCTATTACCCCTAATTTGCGAGGCCTTATTCGCGCTTAAATAGGCTTAGTGTTAGGAGTTAACTCAACTCCAAGCTTATCTTAATATAAAGCCCTAACGTACCTCACGGATTCGTGCAACACACGGGTTATTATTATTATTATTCCATTATAGTCCTGTATCAGCCGTTGGCTATGTAGGACTTTGGCCAAAGGCCGTTCTATCTGACTAGTTACAATTTGGTACGTTGTGCTGTATTGCGTGACTATGGTGCTTCGGCCTTTGTCT